AAAAAAAAAAAAAAAAAAAAAAAAAAAACAGGCACACGAACACACAGATAGGGAAAAAACCGTGAATTGAAAGACTTATCGATCGATTGATAGAGTTCTTTTGGGCATAGAGATTTTTTTGGGCGGGGGGGAGGGATAGATTCTTTCTTTTTTTTTTTTTGGGGGGGGGGGGGGGGGGGGGGGGTTGGGGGGCGGGAGTGGATAGGGAATAGATTTTTTCAGCATCCATTAAAACTTGACACAACTGGATAATGCCGGATAGCGTTGCCGCTCCCCATACAGAAATACTGCACCAGCTTTGTTTCCCCTTCCCCTTCCCCTTCCCCTTCCCCTTCCTCTTCCCCTTCCCCCTGCCCTTCCCCTCTTAATCAGACAAAGACCATGCCGTCTTCCCCCGAACAGAACGCACCCTGATAATGAATATATACAAGCCATCTTTCCGCCCCGATACAGTCTTGATGAGGGTAGCGTTGTGCTCGAGGGAAGACGGCAGCCCCATATACTCGATGCAGCAGCATTGCTTTCCCTCCCCCTCCGCCTTCCCCTTCCCCCCTTCCCCGCCTTAATCACGCAAAGACCCTAGCCCCATAGCCCATGCAGCAGCTTTCCTCCCCCTCCCTCTTTCCCTTCCCTTCCTCTTTCCCCCCATCGTCCCCTTCCCCTTCCCCCCCCGCCCCCCTCTTCCCCTTCCCCTTCCCCTTCCCCTTCCCCTTCCCCCCCTTAATCAGACAGAAACCCCCGCTCGTGAGAGGCAGAGGCTTCTTTCTAATGCCGCCATCGCTATCGAGCTCTCACCTTCTCTCCCCTTCTCTTATACTTAGCATGAATCTGGACGTAAAGCTGGTTAGGTTCATGCTTCACTAAGCACCAACATACCATCCAGAGTCGCTCGCTACTTGAGTGTTTCGCTCCAACGAGTGTCTGAGAGCGAGGCCCCGCACTTGTGCTATGGGCCTCGCTGCACTAGTCTTGAAATGCACAAAAGACAAAAATCATGGCCGTGTATCTGTCGATATTCTAGCGGAAGATTCACTCTCGTTTTGCACATTTCGAGAGTAGTGCAGCGAGGCCCTATGTCCGTGCTAAGTACTTAGCGCGAATCTTGAAGGCCTCGCTCCCAACAAGTGTATGACAGCGAGGCCCCCACTTGTGCTATGTCCGTGCTAAGCACTTAGCACGAATCTGGACGTAAGGCTGGTTCGGTTCATGCTTTACTAAATATACCACCATACCATCCAGAGTCGCCAGCTACTTGAGTGTTTCGCTCCCAACATGTGTGTGAGAGCGAGGCCCCCACTTGTGCCACGCCCGTGCTAAATGAATCGGGACGTAAAGCTCTCTCTACCTTCATGCTTCTGCTCCCAAAGACTGTGTGAGAGCGAGGCCCCAACTTGTGATATGTCCGTGCTAAGTACTTAGCATGAATCTGGTCGTTAAGCTGGTTCGGTTCATGCTTTACTAAGCACAAGCATACCATCGCCACCGCGGCGTTGTTCTGCCTTTTCACTTTTTTTTTCTTGTTTTTTTTTTTTTGAATCTCAGCTGCCGCTCAGGAATTCCTGAACATAATTTTTTTACATGTCTGATAAGTAATTACCGTCTTCCCCCGAATAGAACGTACAGACATTATCGCTGTATCTAGACTGAATGTTGCCCCCAATGCACAGCTATAATGACCCAAACCCACAGATATAATGACCGTACGTTCTATTCGGGGGAGGACGGGTGGTACGTAATTAGTAATTACTGATCATTACTCCACAGAGACGTGAAACACAGACCCACAAAAAAAAAAAAAAAAGAGAGAACACAAATCCAACAAAGAAGAAGGTCCGTCATGCTCCCCACCAATCGATGAAGCCTCCTTGGTGCGAAAAAAAAAAAAAACTCTTACCAGCACTCCTAGAATCTAATAGGGTGGGGGGGAAAAAAAAAAAAAAAAAAAAGACCCACCTCTCTCTCTGTTTGCGCGCCCGTCCCGACTGTTTCCGCACATTTCGCGCCAAAATTCTTATCCCATGAGATGATGACGTGGCATCATTCGAAGTGGATCAGATTGATACTGATGTCGTCTTTCCCGCCATTCCCCCGATCACTTCCCGCCATGTACCAATCAACAACTAAGAGCATACTCACACTGGGACTTCTTTTCGACTCACTTCTGGACGTAATTAAAGTCAGATGCATCCAGGTTCCACCGCCGTAATTGCGGTCAGATACATTAACAAAAGCCCTACCAAATAGTGTGAGCCTGCCCTAACGCTGTTATAACTTTGATTACAGTTCAGTTCAGTTCCGTTCTCCTGCCGGTGAACGGAGACGATCAGCATTTTCCTGCTTGGGCCGCCATAGCCGCCATAGCCACCATAGCCGCTAGAGCTGCAAGCCTTGAGAGGACACACAGTGTGACCTTCCTTGCGAGCTTGGTCTGCCTGTCCTGTTCGGGTAAGTCGGGAAGACAACGTTTATCCCGACCGGCTATTTTCCATTTCGAGTTTTCCCGCTCTTTCTGATTTTTGAAATACAATACTGTTTTTTCTTTTCTTTTGCATCAAAATGAAATAATGCAGTCCCGCGCGCTCTTTCTTGCATGCTTCAGCACACACGAACACCCTCCCTTTTTTTTTTTTTTTTTTTTTTTTTTCCTTTTTTCTTGGTGGGGGGGGCTAAGATCAAGTTAGTATAGGGGAGGCAAATCGAACGTAATTCAGGATACAGAAGGACCGGCCGAAGCGCTTCCGCCGGCCCTACGGCGTTTCGGACCAAGCGCTAAGCCCCCAGTAACGTGGGCTTCGGAGTCAACCGTGGATGCGCCGCCATCGTGACAGCGCCATGGCTGTTATGACCCTGTCCTTGTCCGCCATGTTCGGAGGGTCGTCGGTGCTTGCCTGTAGGGGAGAGTATTCGGCGATGGTGTCATAGCCACTTGTCGGCTAAGGTCCAATTTTTTTAGCGTTATAGCTCATATTGTGTTCGTGCTCATCACTGTTGAAAGTTTGTCAATAATTTTGTATGGTTTTCCAATCGAGTTTCTCTAGCTCGGGAGGTACGATCTGAGTGGAGTAGAATCATGGCGACGGTCGGAATGGAAGGAGAGGCACACCAAAGAGGTGCTCGATCTCCTCCTCCGGATCCAGGAGGGGATAGGGATGAAGATGAGAGACTTAGAGAACTGATGAGGTTATGTTATGAGGAAGGGATTATGCCCCATAACATACACCCAGGGGAGATGTCAATTGAAGGAAGGGAGGTGAGATTCAAGGTGAATGAGCACATAGACAGAGTGAAGATAGCCTGGTTGAAGGAACATACTGTGACGGTGATCTTTCGAGAACGAGCGAGATTCCTCCCCAAGAAAGTCAAAGATGATATCGTACGTGCTTACGAAGACGATAAAATCCAGGACGGCAGTTTCGAGGCGGAGAATTTTCGACGTGGAAGGGTGAAAGTGGAGAGTCCAAACGTGGTCTCATATGTGGCGAAATCAAGGGCGATTGCATCATGGATGGTTACCAAAGGTCACGACGAAATTACTATTGGCCAAGATACCTACAAGCTGGAGTTCAAGCCATGGTTGTCAAAAGCTCAACTCCGGGAGCAGCGAAGAGAAGAGGATGACCTCACGTTTTGGGTTGTGGCTGTTCAGGTGCCGCTTGACTCTTTTTTCTATCTAGAGGCACAAGTGGCAAGGGCAATCGGTCCCATAGTCCGAACGCATCCAACAGAACCGGATCGACTCAAGCCATCACTTGTCAACATCAAGTTCGATAATGACCCGACATCTCGTCCTAATATGAAGGACAAGATTTGGGTAATCACTCCGGAAGGTGATGAGCTGGAAGTCAAACTAGCGTCATCGGAAACTCCGAGGTGCAGACGCTGCCGAGCCTTCTTTCATACGGACAACGAATGCAGGAGAGGGGCGAGACAGAACCAACCAAACAGTCAACCAGGCGGTGGCGGACAACAGTCGGCTTCGAGTCAGGGATATTAGGGCCCTATGGGCCCCTTGGGGTTCTCCCCCTTGATGGAAGCACTGCACATCGATCCAAACAACGCTCAAGCAGGAGGTCAGCCATTTATCAGCGCTCGTCTTAATCCAACGTTCTCTCCTGCTCGGCCAGCTGGTTGAGGAGGGCAATCCAATGGACAAGGAGGAAGTCAACCATGGATGCAACGTCCTTTGCATCCTCAATATGGCATGCCAAGTTGGTCTGGAAATGCTTTTGTGCCCTGGATGTCGCAGGCAACATTTCAACAGGGGGGATATATACCCCCTTTGAATTGAGGCGTGGGCATGATTTATCCTCAGCAACAAGCTGCACTGGGCGGAGGGGCAGTTATGGGTGGCGTTCAAATGACTGTTCCACCACAGCCTCCCAATATGGGAGGGGGAGGAGGCGATGGAGGGGTATCAGGAAGCGTAGCAGGGCCAACAACCACAACCGCCGGCGGGAATGCACCCACCACGGAAGCCATCCTTGAACGGGAGCTCATGCCTCGACATAGAGATAGTACCGGATCACTGAGACCTCGGACGGGCACCCCAGGGAAACAGCGACGTCTCGATATGGAAGGGAGCTTTATTGCAAGTGGTCTGCCAGAAGGGGCGGAAGCATCGGACAGTTCAATTCCAGGATCAGAGGACTCTACCGGAAGGGTGAAAGTAGTGGGCACACCAGGTAGCCACTCAGGTAGAAGACGAGCCCCGGCCTCCTTGGGCAGAGGCCAACTCCAACAGGTCGAGAACAAAGTGTTGCCGCTGTTCTGCACCTATGCCAGAAACTCCTTGTGGGTAGTTGCATGGCCAACCTCAGACGGCTCGCTACAGATGGTAAGCATCCCTGGTCCAGAACAACCAATGCCCTTTGCGCTAGTCACTTTGGTTAGAACGGCCATCAACGATCGTTTCCTATTTCGTATTATTCCTGATATGGCGATGCCCAGATTGATTGTGGATAGCCCAGAAGGTGGCGGGAAACGGATAAAATTTTTCGTTCCAATTATGGATGCTAGATTTGTGGTTGGTCAATTAGAAAAATTGGAAGAAGAAGGTATCTGTCTCCTCCTCTTGTCTTGGTTCGGGGAGTCCCGGCGAACGGAGTTACGTAGATTGAAAAGGCCCCCTCTGCAGTCTGTTGAACGGTTAGCAAAGGTGGATGGCAAATTGTTGAAAGACAAGAAACTACTGTCTCCGTATGTTAGATCAATGCTAACTTCCGTATGGTTACCTGCCTCTCAGGGCACTCCCATCCAATCAGGTGGTAGGAGTCAGGGCAGTAATGGGCAAAATTAGAATCGGGTCGTGGAATGCTAGAGGGTTGGGCGATGGCGCAGGTCGTCAGAAAAGGGACAGTCTGAAATCGTGGATATTCGATAAGAATATTCAGATAATGTGTCTGCAAGAAACCAAATTATCAGAGGAAAAAATATCAAGCCTCTTGAACTGGTGGGATGACCCTCAATTGTGGGCCCCTGCGTCTGGGTCAAGAGGGGGCACTGCAATCTTGATTCATAGGAAAGCAGAGTTGGAGATTGTGGATTTTTACTCTGATATTTGGGGGCGGTGGTCATGGGTTAAATGCTTTATAAATGGCGCCTTCTGGGTAATTGCATCTATCTATGCCCCAACAGATGAGATTCCTCGCGCTAATTTTTTTCAAGATCTGTTATTAATAATCCCAGAGGCTGAGAACTTAGTTTTTGCTGGTGATTGGAATACCTCGATGTACGATCTCTCGGGTAGAAGGATCAGAGACAAACTGTCCCTTACCATGGTTATGGATGAACTAGAAGTGATCGACCCATTCCGTCTTTCCCATCCTGAAGATACGGGTTATTCATGGTTCTCTCATTATCGAGAGAATACGGGGATCACCAAACGTTGGCTAGACTACTTTCTGATCTCCTCCTCGCTATGGCAAGCGGTGGACAAGGTACACGAATCTGCTCATTATTTATCGGATCACAAACATGTGATTCTCTCCCTGCATACATCGGAAACCCTGCGGGGTAAAGGCCTTTTTTGTTTCAATACCGAAAATCTTAAAGAACCAGGGCTCATCCTATGGATGAAACATTTATGGAGCGATTGGGAGAAATCACGAGGTGATTATCAATCTACGGCAGAATGGTGGAACTCAGGAACAAGGATTTTCTACAACCTCCTGAGTGTCATCTCTCGCCTACTGGCTTACAAACATAACAAACGAGTGGTTGAAATCCAAAAATGGTTAATATATGCAGAGTCGAGAATGCTGGAACATCCGGTTTCAGAGAAAGTGTGGGGAAAGGAAAGAAATAGGCTGCTGTCAGAATGGGATGAGCTGGAGTGTAAGCAATCTGAAATCAGGGCTGACAGGCTGCGTATCAATCGCATGACTAAGGAAGCCTTTTACAAACTACTCCCAAGAAGAGTCACGGTTCCTATGAACGAATTAAAGCACCCGTTTGATGAGGTCGCCCCGATAGCAAAAGAACTGACAGAACTCTGTAATTATGCGACGCTATATTACAGAGATATCTTGACCTCTAGAACACAGGGCGCTAATATTCGGTCCGACCTCCACAAGGAATCACAACACTGGATGAACACAGAGGCTAGACTCTCTCAGACTGGTAGGTTGGATTTGGACAGACCTGTTTCAACCACTGAAGCTCACGAGGCACTCAAGGCAATGGCATCAGGCAAAGCTCCAGGGGATGATGGTTTGCCAACAGAGCTATATCTGTTTATATGGGACGTGGTAGGAGAAAAGTTGGTTGAGATCTACAACGAGGTTCTGACAGGAGGGAAGCTAGCGATGAATATGTGTCGAGGAATTATATTTGTCCTCTTTAAAAAAGGTGATAGAACTGAAATCCGGAACTGGCGCCCTATATCTATCTTAAACGTATCATATAAAATTTTGGCCAAAGTTTTGCGAGACGTCTGGGTCGCTATCTTCTAGATTTAGTACTGCCAGATCAAGCTGCTTTCATCAAGGGACGCTCAATCTAAGACAATATTGTTACGACAATCGAAACTCTGAAGGTAATTCAGAATGAACAGCTAGACATGGCAGTCCTTCTCTTGGATTTGGAGAAGGCCTACGACCGTGTCAACTGGTCGTATGTCCTCTCAACCTTGGATTGGATGGGTTTTGGAAAGAACTTCTGCACTTGGGTTTCGTCCCTGTACACGCTTTTCACTGCTGCAGTCATGATAAACAGCCGCCTGTCTCAAGACTTTCCCCTTACCAGATCTCTACGCCAGGGTTGCCCTCTGGCCCCCCTACTTTTTGTTGTGCAAATGGAAGGGGTTCTCAACAATATTCGAGCACATGCACAGATTGTTGGTCTGCAAGCAAGCCCAATCCCATATAAGGTTAAAGCTCTGGCGGATGATTTATTTGCCGTAGTGGAAAATACCACCCAGTCGCTTGCAGGCCTGAAGTCCTGTCTAGACGAGTATGCCTCGCTGTCTGAAGCAACCATTAACTGGCATAAGTCAGTTTTTTTCCTCCCAATGCAATTCCCGTTGGTTGTGCAGTGGGGAATGAAACGCATTGGGGATGGCGAATCAGAACGCTTTTTGGGAGTTCAAGTAGCATTGTCGAACTGTGTGGAAGCCCAGGATGGAATATTACTGCAAAAGATCACGCAAAGAGTGGTATCATGGGGAAAAGCCCCTCATTTGTCAATCTACGGGAGGGCGATGGTAATAAACGGTGCCTTGTTTGCTTTGTTGTGGTATGTAGGGAGAGTACATGGACTGGGATCTCAACTGTACACACTATCCAGACGTAGAGCTGCCCGCTTTATTTGGAAACCCTTCTCAGATGAAGGAGATGCTTTTATATCGAAGGTAGCTTGGGAAATGCTGTGTTTTCCTCGTAATGAAGGAGGGTTGGGGATGTTGGATCCGCAACGACAGAACAGTGCAATGTTAGTACTGTGGATTATCCAGGCCACTCTCCTTAACCCCCCCCCCCTCATTGGGTCTATTTGGCAGAAAGAATTTTGGCCAGCGAATGACACTTGTCAAGACCAGCAGATGTATGGACATGTCTGATGCTCTATTCATATCAGCGCAGACATGTCAAGTCATCCTTTTGGTCAGCGATTTTACAGGCTTGGAGAAAAATTAGACCTATAGTATGGAACGAACCTCATACGAAGGCCGAAGTGATGATGCAACCTGTGTTTGAAAACCCAAGGATTAGAGGTCATGCTGGGGAATGGTTCAAAGCTGATTCATCCCCAACAAGTTTCGGTCGTACATGGATTGAGAGGGGGATTCTTAGAATCCAAGATCTGTGGAATTCGCTATTGGGTTGTTGGAAGACTGAAGAGGAGTTGCGCACTCAACTGGGCCAGACCTGGTATCAGGATGGTAGGCGACGAGCTATTATCGAAGCCATCCCAGTGAAATGGAAACAGTTAATATCTCCAGAAGGGGTGGATCGACCGGGTACTTGGTTCACCGTTGCCTAGACAACCCCTGAACACGCTTGGAAGCTTATCAGTATTGACAATGATGGCCGCAGGGAATTTGAGAGCCGGGAAATCCAACAGGGAAGGGTATTGTCGTTAGATGAGGAAAAGTCCACTCCCCCTTTGGGCCTACCTCTGCAGCAGATCCGTGTTTTTGAGACACCTGGCCCAGATGAGTCAATGTTCTGTCAAACTATAGCGAGGGGCTCTCCCATTTTCCACTTAAAATTGGATCCAGCTCTTTGGGAATGGACTGTTAAAGGAGATAGGGGTACGAATGCCACGCTAGCGGATTACTCAATCAAGATTGGGTACACTGTGAATCGACCGTTGAAGCTGCTGCAGGTGGTGGCTCGAGAAAGATGGGCTCAACTCTTGCAATTGGAGCTGGAAGAGATTGATAGAGCGTTGACAGTCTGCTGGAAACAACTTAAACTAATTGCAAGCCAAAGGCATGCGTCTCTGTTATGGCTGGTTTCATTAGTTTCAACTTCGTCGGCGGTTTGGCTCGCTGCAAGAGGAATGGAGTTAAATCTCACATGCATACGTTGCCAATGGGCTTTCGAATCCATAGTACACCTGTG